AACACGCATAGGGTTGGGGGTGCCATATGAGACAGACCCCTAAGTAGATGACAGACCTGTGTCCATTTTCCCACATGCAGGTGGCATGAAAGTACACAGGGCTTCACTGCTATAATTAGGCTAAAGCAAGGGGCTGGAGATTTAGCTCAGTGGTGCTGCGTCTGCCACACAAGTGCAAGGTCCTGAGTGTGATCCCTGCCCCCTCCCCCCAAAAATAGCACAATTAGGCTAAGCAACTGTCTTTCTCACAGTGGTTCAGTAAGTTACAACCAGCACACCTCGACACAGGTGACAGTACTTCTAAAGAGTCACTCAAAGCTTCTATATATATAGTTTGTTGCAAGTAATAAAGCTAGCTTCTTCCTTGGGAAAACCCCAAAAGTCGGGTGACACTGGTGCAGCGGGAGGGCCCAGGGCCCAGGTGCGGGGACCAAGGTCAAGGAGCAAATGCCCATCACCAAGTGGGGTGTGTGGTCAAGGATGTGAAGATCAAGTCCCTGGACAAAATTGAGCTCTTCTCCCTGTCCATCAAGGAGTCTGAGGAGACAGACTTGTTCCTGGGCACCGTCCTCAGGATGACTTTCTGAAGATCATGCCTCACAGAAGCACGATGACTCATGCCAGACAGACCAGGCTTGAGTTATCAGCACCGTTCCATGCCTTGTCTGGGCTGTTTGTGCCAAAGAGGTGGGTGACACTCTCTCCACTCTGCATGATTACCCTGGTTGTCCTATCATTTTTTATCAGGGAGAGAGAAAAGAGCTCTTTGGGATGCCCCACTGGCCTCTCTTTCCTTGAGGGGTGCAATAGGCCTTGGGTTAAAAAAAAAAAAAGAAATAATGCTACTTTGCAAGACTCACTTCTCCCCCCTACCCCCCTCCAGGCAAAAAATACTACTCTGCTTTGGTATGAATTCTTTCTGCTTTTAAATTTTTGTTTTCATTTTTTGCAAGGCAGCATAGCAACAGTTGTGCTTGTACGAATGCCCAAGGTTGGGTCACCACTGTAACATGATTTGCCTATCAGTAAGAAAAAATAAAACAGGAGGAAATGGACTCCTTAAGAAAACCAAAATAAAGCAGAGATCCTTGAGAGTTTGGTCCCTCTGCATTCTCATCTGCATTCTCCTCCCAGCAGACTTCTCCAGCTTAGTTGAGGGCAATCTCGATCTCCTGCTCTTCAGAAAGTGAGGAACTGATGTTTGGCAATGCGCCAGTAACACCTGGTTTTCTTCGAGGAACTAGCCCCCAGGAACACAGGCAGGGTGGGAAAGGGGCTGCTGTGGGTCACTGAGATCCCATTGGCTTTGTGGCCAGGCACAGTGTGCAGATGTACCGGTTCCAGGGCACTGGGTCCACACTCACTGAGCGGGGCAGGATTTCCTTGAGAAACATTTCCAAGACTCTCTTTCCATCCATACCCAACAGAGCCACGGTGTTCTCAATGGCTGAGATATGGTGGCTCCCCATGTCACGTAGTAGACCTTCAGTTTGCCTTTGGTGGCACATGCTCATCTGTGTAGGTTCCACAAGGAAGCCTTCTCTCCAGTACGGCTCTGCCCGTGAAACTGAAGGGCACTGGCAGATGAGTTCTTCCCAGTGTGCAGCCTTGTTGCTTGGCTGGGCCACTAACAAGGGGACAAGCCTGGGGACAAGCCTGGGGACAAGTTGGAGGGCCCTACAAATGTGCCAGGAACTTCAACTTTGACAAAAGTGAGCTGTGCCCGGATAAATGTTGATGGGAGAGTGCTAGGACACTCGTGCTTGTAGGACCATCTCACCGTGGGGTTTCACATCCACCAAACAGATGCTGGGTGGCTTCCCTTTCCCCTTTTTGTATGGATCTAGCACCACAGCGGAGATAGTGTCACTGGGCTGGGTCTATGGTCCCAAAGTTGAAATAAGGCACTTAACCTACTCCTTTATAGCAGATTCATTGACTCCCATGGCAGAAAAAGAATTTTCAGGTTGGTTCTCTAAGATGCAAGAGAAGGGTTTATGAGGCAGAGATTTTAGGATGCACTCAAGAATGGAGTGGGGGAAGAATAAATAAATAAATAAATAAATAAATAAATAAAATAAAGAATGGAGTGGGGGTCCTCAGAGAAATGAGACACATTATGAGCCAAAGCTGGGTATATTTAAGGGATTCTTCAAGATGGGTGATCTAGGATATGTATTCTTACTTTTGTTATTCTTGCTGAAACAGTCTTGTTTTGTGGTTCAGGCTGGACTTGAACTCATTTTATAGCCCAGGCAAGCCTTGAATTCGTGGTGAGCCTCTTGCCTCAGCCTCCTAGATTGTGTATTCTGTCAGGTTACAATGCAAACCATCTACATGTGTTTGAAGTTGAGCCCTACTGCCCATCCATATTGCTTCTTCCTTTTGGGTAGAGGAAGCACAAATTTATAGGTGAAAAGGACAGGTTCAGAGCCCAGATTTACAGGCTTATTGTTTGTTTTTTTTTGGTACCGGAGATTGAACTCGGAACCTTGTGCTTGTGAGGCAGACGGTGGACCCACTGAGCTAAATCCCCAGCCCTTGGTTTTGCTTTTTTGAGACAGAGTCGTCATGTAGTTCAGGCTGGCCTTGAACTCACTTTGTAGCCCAGGCTGGCCTCGAACTTTTGGTGATGCCTCCCAAGTGCTAGAATTAAGGTGTGTGCCACCATTCCTGACAACCACACTCAGTTTAAAACTGTAATTTTTGTTTTTGTTTTTTTGGTACCGGGGATCAAAATTGGAACCTTGTGCTTGCGAAGCAGGTGGTAGAACCACTGAGCTAAATCCCTGGCTCCAGGCTTATTGTCTTTAGACCTACAGGATTTTTTAAAAGTGAGTTTCCTAGAAGGGAAAAAGGGTTAAGTAACTTGTATGTCTTAACACTGCAAGTAAGTACAATTTTAAAATCTCAATTTCCTTGTCTCCTTTCTACCTAGTTTTTATTTCTCCTATCCTATCTCGGAAGGACTCAAAGGACCACAGAGCCTGGGGCCTGAGTAGCAAGGCACCGGGGAGGTGAGTCAAGGGATTCTGGTGTACCCTGGTCCACCTTAGCTTCAGAGCAAAGGGTGTCAGCCCCCAGGACAGGGAGACAGAGGGCTGGAGGTGGAAGGGATGTTTCCTAAGGTAGCTTGTTTCAAGACATCCAGAGCAGACCTTTGCTTCTGGCCTTCTGGCTGAGCAGGGCCATCACGGTGGACACTTGGTGAGACACGTGGCTGCCCAAAGTCTTTAGGGCATCGAGTGGAGGGTGTGTGGCCCACAAGTTCACCTAGATGCAGATCTGCTCTGTGAGCTGGATCTGCTGCCCCTGCAGACAGAGGTTCTGCCCCAGGTTCCCTAGGATGCTCTTGGCGCCAGGAACAGGTATGGGGGTCTGCACTCAGCTGGTTCACCACCACCTTGGTGCCCGAGTCCCTGCCTGCACAGTCACGTCAGTGTTGGTCACTCTGCCTTTGGACAAAGCTTGTGTCCTGTGGTGTGGGAGCCAGAGTGGTCTCTGTGTTCAAGTATATGACAGACTCTGCTCTGGGCCTCTGTCAGGTCCTCTGAGCTGCCACTGGTCTCCCTGTCGCCATCCTAACTGCTGGGACTTGGTGCTTATGGCTGGTGGCTCCACACAGCTCTGGAGTCCTCTGATGAAACTGGCCCCTCACTGTCATTCATGATGTGGATAGGTGGATTTTAGTGTGATTTTTCGTTATATTGCAGAACTCAGAGGATGACCTCAACATAGCACTTCTCACAGATGCAGGTCTCCTCCCAAGGAGGCTACTTCATTGCAATTCCCTCGTGGTTCACTGGATTGCCCAACTGTCCTGCCACGAGCACCACTGGGGTTGCATCTCTATTAAATAATTTTTTGGTTTTGTTTTTTGAGTCAGGGTCTTCCTCTGCAATTCAGATTGGCCTTGAACTCACTATGCAGCCCAGTCTGGCCTTGAACTTGCAGCGATCCTCCTGCCTCAGCCTCCCAAGTGCTGGGATTACAGGCATGCACCAGCACACCCAGGTCTATTAAATAATTTTTAACAGCTCAATAAAGGGCTGGAGATCTAGCTCAGTGGTATACCACTTGTCTAGCACGTGCAAGCCATTGGATTCATTCCCCACTGCCACTCACATACACACAAATCAAGATCACAAACCAAAAGAAATAAAATTCATTAATCAGACGATAGCAAAATTAAGGATTTCTGTTCAATAAATAGTATTAGTGACTGTCCTGGGATATACCTCAGCAGCACAGCACCTGCCTGGCAAGTGGGAGGTCCTGAGTCTGATCCCTGGCACCAAAAGAAAAACAACAACAACAAAACAGTATTAGTGACAGAACTAATGATAAAAAATTGGGAAGAGATTGACGTCTCACATCAACAAAGGAGTCATCTGAAATATACAACAATCTGCTGCAAATCGATATAAAAATAGGGGAATTCTTGTACAAAAATAGGCAAAGGAAAATGAAGGTGAAATTTATAAAGAGAAAAATCAGACTGGAGGTGTAGCTCAGTGATAGAGCACTTCCCTAGCATATGCAAGAAGCTCGGTTTGATCCCCAGCACTGCCAAAAAGGAAAAAAGGAAAGCCAAAAAGAAATTTAAAAATTTTAAAGATCACAAAATATATTAATAATTAAAATTGCAAGTTGGATGAGGTGGCACACACCTGTAATCCCACTACTCAGAAGGGTCAGAATAGCTTCAAGTTTGAGGCCAGCCTGGGCTACATAGTGAGTTCAGGGCTAGTCTGAACTGATAGTGAGACCCTGTCTCAAAACAAAAAAAAGTTTTTTTTAATCTTCAGTACCAGGAAAAACACTGCAGTGAGATATTTAAAACCCATGAAAAACAGAAAATTGGTAACGTGAATAGAGTCAAGTATTGGCAAGGAAGATGGGACGTAGACGCCCTACTATGGATGGGGGCTGTGGCCTGGTGCAGACTCAACAGAATGTGGAGCTTAATATGCACAAAACATGTCGAAGGGCCAAAGAAGACACATACAAAGGTATTTATTACAGACTTGCTTGTGGATGCAGGAAGTCAGAAGTTAGAGACAGTCTAGTATTTCATCATTGGGGTAACAAAAAAATCTAAGGAACCATATAATAGAACATTTTACAGCAGTTAGGAACAATGGACTAGGTCATGGAGATTAAAGAAAATTTGTTTTGTTTTGCTTTATTTATTTTATTTTGGTTTTTGAGACAGGGTCTTGCTATATAGTTCAGGTTGGCCTTGAACTCAAGATGTAGTCCAGGCTGGCCTTGAACGGATACTGATTCTCCTGCCTCAGCCTCCCCAATGCTGAGATGACAGGCATGAACCACCATGCCAGGCTGTTTTATTTTTTTAAATGGAGATATTACAACATATCTGCATGCTAACGAAATGAATTTATAGAAAGAAAAGTAGATGATGCAGGAGAAAGTAGATAGGGCAGGAAAATTAGTCCTTGGGTAGGCAAGAATGAAATGTGTTTGGAGTGGCAGTTGGCTTAAAATGTGAGCAAGGACAACTCAATGTAACAAGATGGAAGTCTGAGTATAAAGGTAAGGATGGTCAGATTGGTGGTGACATAAGGATGGTTTTTGTTTGAATTTGTTGTTGTTGTTGATGGTGGTGGTGGTGGTAGTGGTGGTGTGTGTGGTGCTAGGGAACCCAGGCCTTGAACTATACCCCCATCCTGGATTTTTTTTTTTTCATTACTGGGGATCGAACTCAGGACCTTGTGCTTGTGAGGCAAGCTCAGGAACCACTGAGCTAAATCCCTGGCCCCTGATTACCCTTTTTGTTTAAAGACAGGCTCTCACTATGTAGTTCAGACTGGCCTTGTTAGCTGGCCTCAAACTTGAAATTTTCTTCCTTCAGGATGAGTGCTGGTATTACTCGTATGTGCCTGGCTCCTGATTACTTCTTCTCCAGTAAAATAAGAACCAAGTCATTGGCTAAGAGTGAAGAAAGATAAAAGGATGCCGGAGAACTACTGACAGCATTTGTAAGGAAAGCCTCCCTTCTTTCATTCATTCATTCATGCCAGCCCTTAACAGGGACCATCAGCTTTGTGGACTGTGTACACTGAAGATGCTTAGCATGCTGATTCTCTAAGTGCTAAAAAATGAAGACAGTGGAAAACACAACTTGGGCTGCAGCTGGAAGGGGTGGGGTTGAAAAAAACAGGAATGGGCTGGGGATGTAGCTCAGTGGCACCTCACCTGCCTCGCAAGCTCAAGGCCCTGAGATCAATCTCCAGTACCAAAAAAAAAAAAGAAAGAAAATAATAGCACTCACTGCTTCTTAAAGGTCCAGCACCTGCCTCTTCCTCCTTAAACAGCCTTATAAGTAGATACAACTAAGGTCCCCCCACCAGAGGAACCCAGGGTCTCACACATGCAGTCCTCCAATTTCTTTTCTTTCTTTCTCAACAGGGACTTCTCTTTTTTTCCTTCTTTATAGACCAGATCTCACTGGCCATTAACTCACTGTGTAGCTCAGGCTGGCCTTGAACCTGCCACCATCCTCCTGCCTCAGCCTCCCAATTGCTGGGATTACAAGACCTGCATCACACTCAGCTATTACAATTGCCTTTAAGCAAGGAAACCTAAGCCTGTATTCCCAGCACCTGGGGAGTCTGAGGCAGAAGGATCCTTGAGTTCGGGGCCAGCCTGGGATACATAGAGAGATATTAGTACTATTATCTGATAGCAGCTTGAATCTGAACAGATGAAACTCTAGTCTCAGGTAAGACCTGAGCACCTTCTGATCACTTTGACCACTGTCATTAGGTAGATGAACTTGGAGAAAAGTTGTGTTTCCAATTCTGTAAAATGGAAAGCTGGACGTGGCAGCACATACCTGTAATCCCCAGTAGAGGCTGAGGCAGGAGGATCATAGGGAGTTTAAGGCCAGCCTGGGCAACACAGTGAGTTAAAGGCCAGCTTGAACTACACAGTGAGATTCTATCTCAAAAGCAGTAGTAAAATACAAATATAAAAAGATAAAATGAAAAGTGAAGTTGCTTAGCGCATATATTATGTTGTGATACATTCTCTAGGGCATTAAGTTTGAGGAAATACTTTGCAAATGAAATGTTGTATGGATGCATATACTAATGGTTTTGCAGTTAGTTGTATGACTGTCTTGCAAGAGGTCAGATGAAGCCAAGCACCTGACCAGGTGTAGTTAAGCCTCCAGCAGGGAATGAACACTTGAGGTTGACTATCAGAACACTGAGCGAGTTTAAAGAATTTTAGCCTTGGGGTGTGAGGTATGCATACCCGTCATTCCAATACTCCAGGAGGCTGAGGCAGGAGGATTCCAAATTGGAGCTCAGTCTGGATTTAGCACATCTCAAAAGTGGGGGTGGGGTGGAATGGGAACGTACCTCAGAGTGAAAGCTCTGGGTTCAATCCCCAGTACCTGAAAAAAAAGTAAATGAATCAAATAAAAAATTAGCCTTGGTTTGAGGTGTGTTGTGGGGGGTGTGATTCTCCATCGACGCTTAACTGTTCTCCAAGTCTCCGGGGAGAAACGATTAGGCGCTCTCCACCAGATTTGGAACGCCAATACAAGGGATCTGAAACGCAGCGCTGAGCGGAGCTCCACTGGCACGGGCTGGGCACCAGAGGGCGCCAGTCGGATCGCTCCGGAACCCGCCGGCTGGGGGCCGAAACCCGGCCCGCGCGGAACCGCGGAGCTGACGCGGGAGGTCCTGGGGCTCCTTGCCTGTCGCGGATTTAAGTTCTAGTGACCTCCTTCTAGTCCTTCTAGTTCTAGTTCTAGTCCTTCCTTCGCAGCACGAGCCGGCCCTCGAAGGCGCCTGGCGGGCGTGGACGGCGGCGGCGGGACCCGTCTGGGTCCCCAGAGAGCGCGGGGAGCGCGGCCGCCCGGACGGCGCTGGCGCTCACTGCCGCGAGGCCGGCGGGCAGCTGTTCGCGCAGGCGGCCGTGGGGGGCAGCAGAGGGGACGGCGACAGGTGCGGGAGCCCCTCCTCGGGTGGCAGGGAAAAGGCGGGCTCGGGGTCTGTTCTCTGGCTGGAAGCCACCCCCGCCCCCCAACCAAATCCCCGGGAGAGGCCGGCGGCGCCGGGGCTGAGGGAGGAAGCGGCCGGAGACAGTGCGATTTCACGCGGCCTCTGGGGCTCAGGTTCCTGGGCGAGGGGCATGAGTTATGGTGCTTTGAGTCCCGGGGAAACTGAGGTGGCCTGAGCATGAGGCAAGAAAACACCCTCCCACTCAAAAACACAGTCACATTTGGAGAGGATCCCTCAAGTGACCCAACCGGCTAGGGGAGTTGAGCGATTTGCTTAGTGGGCGAGGCCAATTTTCAGGGGGCCGGGCTTTCGAGCGCTCTTCCCACCCCATTCACTACCTTTCCCGGCGTCGGGAGCGTTTGGTGTCTCGCTCTCCGCTCCCCGCGGCTCCCGGGAAAAGCGGGCGCGAGCCCCCTCCCGAGCCGGGTCTGGTCGGCCACGCCGCGGGGCACGCTCCGGGCAGGCGGCGCGAGGCTCCGCACGCCCCGCTCCAAACGCGCACGCGAGGGGGCGCGGCCGTGACTCACCCCCTTCCCCTGCTCTCCTCCCTCTTCTCCCAGACGTACACTCTCCCCTGCCATCCCGCTCTGGACTCTGGCTCCGGCTCCGGTTCCGCTCGCAATTTGTAACCTCTGTGGCCGCTGTCGCCGCCTCCCATTCGCGGGCGGCTAAGGTGGCCGTCGCTTCGATGTCCTAGTCCAGGGGTCCCCGGGCCGGGCTCGGCTGGGCTCCCTTCACCTTCTGCTGGAGTCATGAGGGCGAATGGGGCTCTGCAGGTGCTGGGCTTCCTTCTCAGCCTGGCCCGGGGCTCCGAGGTTGGCAACTCGCAGGCAGGTAAGTGGCGCGGGGGCGCCCGCTGGCTGGGACCTGGAGGCGGACGCCAGCGCGCGGACCCTGAGCAGGACCAGGGCCTCAGGCTTGCGGGATTCAGGCTACGACCCTCGGTGGGCTGGGGGCTCAGGGAGAGTAGCGTCAGGCTCGGGTTCTCGGAGTGGTCGGGCAGGGTCTGCATTTCTGAGCGCCCGCCCCTTTCCCAGGGAGTCGCAGACCCCCTAATTGGTTTCCGCTGGTGAGGTTGAGGGACCTTTCAGGGAGCGGAGCGGGGACCTAGGTTTTGTATACACGAGGAGCTTGAGGGAGGTGGGGATCTTGGCGGAAGGGGCTCACTTTGCCCCCTGACCCCCACCCCACCCAGGGTTTCTGCAACCCCTAGTTTCGTTGTTTTGCCGACAGGGCGGAGCTGTGGGAGGGCGAGAGAAGGTTGTTGTTTTCTGATGTTGGAAAAACAGGAATGGCACCTCCTCTTCCGTGAGTGGGCTTGCCCTGGGGAGGGCAGAGATTAACCAGAGGGCCAAGTCCAGGGGACATCAGGGTGGAAGGCCCAACAGGGGCTGGCTGGCTGCTTTCCCTCAGAACAAAGCTGGCTGGGCCCAACTTGACCAGCCTCTCTTTGTCAAGACCCAGGTCAATTCAACTAATATTTATTGAACATCTACTATGTACAAGACTTGGAGCCAGGAGCTCCAAAGGGGAAAGGACATTCAGACCTTATTTCCCTTATCTTTTCTCACCCCAATCTGAGGGCCAGGAAGGCACCTCTCCCACCTTCAGAGACACCTGTTCTAGGAAGTTGTACCTGCCCCTCCCCCGACTGTTTATTGTTTAGCTCCAGACTGAGTCCTAGTTTGCTCCTCACCATTCCGCCTCCCACTCCCATGCCATCTGAGCCCACACCTTTGGGGTCTCTGAGACCAGGGACACCTGAAGGGCATTGGCCTTGGTGGGACCAGAGTCCTGTTGATCTCTTCCCACCCCCCCAGATCTCAGCTTGGGGTTTGGCACAGCCAGGGCCCCTTCCCCAGTGTGGGAGTAGGAGAAACCACCTGTGGTTCCCCACAGTTGCTGGGCCTAAATTTAGCTCCTGGGATCTTGAGATGTGAAACTCCCTGCTGGTGGAGGGGGTGGTCTAGGGACTGGAGTGGGAGGGGCCAGTGGAATGACTGTGTCACTGTCCCATGCAGACCCCTAGAATCTTCAACCAGGATTTCAGGAGTCCCAGATTCGACACCCTCCCTGAGGCAGGAGGCAGGCATGGTTGGGTCTCTACACTTTATCTGGATCCTGCAGCCTCTAGGCATCCGGCCATCTCAGGCCCTCTATGGCCCCTTTGTACCCACTGTGATGGGGGTAGAGGACAGGAGGGGAGGCTTCTGGTTGAGGAGGGGCTTGGGATTCTTTCTCTTGCTTACCCCCAGTGCGCTCTACCTAAGGAGGGTCTTTGACACTGCCTCCCTCCCCCACGTTCCTGTTTCCTGGGTATAGCAGGGATATTTGTAATTCTCCTTCTTCCCTGTTCCCCAAGCCTCCTGGTTCCTCCCCAGAGGCATTGTATATACTCCCTGCCCAGACCCCTTGCCCTCACTGGTGAAAGGTGGACTTTACCCAGGGTGGCAGGGAACTGAAACCTGTGACACTGTTGCCTTTCAAGCAGACACAAAGTCCAAGCCAGTATTTATGGGCAGGTGGCCTTGGTGGGTCCGCCTGGAGTACTTGGTGATAAAGATCCCAAGGACAGACCAGCTAGATTTCTGGGTCAGCAGGGGAGCTGTGTGCATGTTTGTGTTTGTGGTTGTGTCTCGGGTAGTGTTTGTGTGTGTACGTGCGTGCACGCACAGGCACGTACACACACAACACTTCCTGGTGTAGAAATCTTGGCTTCTTTATCTGGGGAGAAAGGTTGGCGCCTTAACTTGGAAGAGGGGGTGTCCTGCCAGGAAAAGGGTTAGGGTGGGGCCATTCCAGAAATGACTAACCTTCCCAGGTTCCTCTGGGAGCTCCCAGCCTGTTGGTACCCTTTGCTGAGACCACCCCCCTTCCCTTCACTAGAAGTGACTGGGAAGGGGATCCCTCAAAGGTCAAGTGGTCTGACCAAGGGAGTATCTAGCAGGAGGGGGCTCTCAGTCTCCCTCCCTCCTCTTGGGCACTTCTGCCTCCCATGGAGCTGCCACCGCCTCGAGGAAGGGTGGTTGGAACAGGTGGTATCTAGCCCCCTCCTCTGCACCCTACCCACAAGGGCAAGAGGCAGGGTAGAGCTTCAGGGTCCAAGACTTCCCAAAGCCCATGTCCTCCATATTTACAAAGGAAAGTGAGAGCCCAGGTGCCTCCTTCCCTTCTCCTCCAGGGCCTGGGGTCTAGGTCCTCCCCAAGGTCGAGTACCAGTGATGATTGCCACGTTGGATCTTCTTAATGAAACTCTGCTCACACTGAAATTGGCAGAGGGCTTAGCAATGAGGGGGTCTGCTGCTGTTTCCTTCCAGGCTTCTCTGTGTTTGCTGAAAACTACTTTAGGGCTAGAGAGTAGTGCTGAGGAAGCTGGAGTATGTTGGGATAGGGGAAGGGAGTGAGAAAAGAAGCCAAAATTTAGGAAAGGGGGGTGGCTGCCAGCTCCTTATCTTCCAGTGTTAAAGACAAAGCTCCCATTGACCCCACCACTACCAGAGCTCCCCCTCCAGTGAGGTCACTTGTCTGAGCCCAAGGTTCCAGGGTGGAGGGGGGGTGCTGCTGAGGATGGGGTGTCTGGGATAGGGTGGGGCACCCCCTCCTCCTGGATAGAATTGCCTCATTGTGGGCTGAACGGTGGCCCCAGGCGATGCCCCCACCCTCTGCCCCATCCCACCCTCCCAGACACAATAGGGTCTGTGTGCTAGGCCCAAAGAGACATTTATCCCAGGGCCTAGAGAGGGATAGGATGGGGGCAGAGAAGTAAGTGCCCTGGCTAAGGCGGAGTGAGAGTAATCAAAGTTGTGGTCCTGTCTTCCTTCTGTGTTAACCCCTTAGTCCCCAAAGTAGTACCTGAAAGAGGCGGAAGAGGGTGTGTCCCAGTGGAAAAGGAAACCTTTTCACTTCCCATTGAGAGGGTGGTGGGGACCCTGTGAGAAGGGAGGAGGCTTCGGTTACTTTATGGTAGGTGTCACTATACCCCTCTTTGGGGAGCTTTGGAGGCAGCTGCCTTCTGGTCCTGCCAAATGTATTTGGAAGAGGGCAACAAAAAGGGATGCTCTTGGGGGTAGCAGAAAACTTGTGCTCAGCACTCTGCCACTCTTACCTCCACTTTGAACAGTGTGCCCTGGGACTCTGAATGGGCTGAGTGTGACTGGCAATGCCGAGAACCAGTACCAAACACTGCACAAGCTCTACGAGAGGTGTGAGGTGGTAATGGGGAACCTTGAGATTGTGCTCACCGGACACAATGCTGACCTCTCCTTCCTTCAGGTTAGAGTGCCCAACCACTTCCAACCCATCGCCCCAGTCCTCCCCATAGGAGCCTCCTTCCCTTCCTCAGGATGACTCTCTGCTGAGTCCAGCCTTCCTAAGACTTAGTAGTTCCTAAGTAGTTCCATAAGGGAGACGGAGACTGGAATCCAAGACATAAAGCCCAGTGGTGTAGTCAGAGAAGGGGATGGAGCAGGTGGTACTCTGTGTGGTGGAAGCAAGCAGGGACTGATGCAGAGGAACCTGAGGACAGAGGTGGTTGGGGAGAGGAGGAAGGGACTAAGCCAGGGCCCTCCAGATGTGAGGAGCTCTGAGAAGAAGAGTAGAAAACTTGAATTCCTCAGTCAAGTGGCATAGTAGTGTGACAGAGCTTATTCCTTACTCCAAAGTAGGAACTAGGAAGATTTCATAGAGGCTGGGTGGAGAGACCCACACCTGTCATCCTAGCCACTGAAGAGACTGAGGCTGCCAGGGATTTAGCTCAGTGGCACCATGCCTGCCTTGCAAGTGCAAGGTCCTGAGTTTGATCCCTGGTACTAAAAAAAAAAATTCCAGAGCCATGAAGAGACTGAGGCAGGAAAGATCACTTTAGCCCAGAAATTTGAGGCCAACCTAGGCAATGAGTTAAGGATTCAAGGTCAGAGGTAGAGTGCTTTCCTAAAATGCATGAGGCCCTGGATTCCATTCCTGCCACTGCAAAAAATACTTAAGCACTCCTTAATACCTTAAGGAGAGAAAAGGCTGAGACTTTGTCCTGTTGTCTGTCTCACTGACACAATCTGCTCCATCACAGTGGATTCGAGAAGTGACAGGCTATGTCCTTGTGGCCATGAATGAATTCTCTACACTCCCACTGCCTAACCTCCGAGTGGTACGGGGCACCCAGGTCTACGATGGGAAGTTTGCCATCTTTGTCATGTTGAACTATAACACCAACTCCAGCCACGCTCTGCGCCAGCTTCGTTTTACCCAGCTCACGGGTCAGTGTCTCATGATTCCTTCTGGTCTTGTCCTCACCATCCTGCTGACAGGCACCTCTTTGGTCATGACCCAAGACTGCTTGACCACTATAGTTTCAAAGCCTACCACTCCTTAAACAGTAGAAGAACCCAGTGGGGAGCTGAGGGCATCTGCCCCAGGAGGGGAGGTCCTTATGGTGGGGCTGGAGTTGGAGTTGGGAGTTGAATCTGTTATCCAGGCCTTCAATTTCAAGGTACAGTGTACTCTGGTGTCCCTCCTTCCCTGGAGTGTTGCTTTTCCTCCCTCTCCATTCGACACAAGCTGGAGGAACAGAGTGGGGTTAAATCCCACCTGGCCACCTTCTATGCTGCCCTGTCCCAGTTAGTTGGAAAACACTTGGGTAGGCCTGGGGGAAGGGGCATTGAGTCAAAAGATGTCTTTTCCTTCTTTCCCTTCCCCTCCTCCACCGGCTAAACCGGATCTGGGATCTGGACAGGTGTCTGAGGAGGCAGGAGTCTCTCTGACCTGACTCCTCCTCTTAGAAGGCAACCCTTGCCTGCAGCGTGGAGCTAACTGGACTCTGTCTGCTGTGCTTCCCCTGCTCCTGGGTATCTGGTGTCCTTTTGGACTACTGGGGGGAGGGAGGGAAGAAGGGGAGCTGTGCTGTAGCCCTTAACTTTTCACTTTCTTCCCTACCTCAGAGATTCTGTCAGGGGGTGTTTATATTGAGAAGAATGATAAACTTTGTCACATGGACACAATTGATTGGCGGGATATCGTGAGGCACCCAGGCGCTGAGATAGTGGTGAAGGACAATGGCAGAAGCTGTGAGTGACCATGATCAAGACTGCTCCCTGTGGTCCACCAGAACATCCTCATTATATCCCTAAGCTGAACACCTCTCCACTGAACAGTCATCCCAGGAGGGACCCAGTCAGGCCCCTGAGATCCACACCACAGAAGCAGTGTACCAGGAAAAGTGGCAAGAGATCTCAGGGTGCTCTGGAGGGAAGCCAGATCTTTGGGCTTTGCATCCATTGCCCTCTCCACTACAGCATCTCCCTACATACCCTGACCGTGGTCTGCCACTCCCTGTCCCTTCACAAGCACATGTTCTTTCTGGGCTCAGTTTGCCCAGGAGGAACCAAGTTCCTGGTTGGGGCTGGGTCTGAGGTTGGCATTTGCCCCAGTGCCTCCCATTCAGCTGCCCAGTGGGTGGGGTGGAGGCGTGGCTCCACCCCTTGTTGACAAGTTCACTTGTGCCCAGCCTGGCTCTCCACAGGCAGGGAGGGACACTGCCCTGGCTCTTGCTCCCCGGGATTGAGGTTCCTGTGTGCTGACATCATGCCCTGCTGATCCAAGCAAACCTTTCTTAGCCCTGATGGCCCCATGTGTTGCCTTTCTTCCTAACCAGGTCCACCCTGTCATGAGGTCTGCAAGGGGCGTTGCTGGGGCCCTGGACCAGAGGACTGCCAGACATGTGGGTTTGAATTTCCCTTTAAAAACTTCTAGCGCATACACTTTTGACAGCCCCGCCAACCCAAACCTGTGTCAATGCTGGGGATGGGGATGAGCAGTGGCCTTGGAATTCAGTCCTCGGAGCCCTGATAGCCATGCTTTTTCTCCCTCCATAGTGACAAAGACCATCTGTGCCCCTCAATGTAATGGTCACTGCTTTGGGCCAGACCCCAACCAGTGCTGCCACGATGAGTGTGCAGGGGGCTGCTCCGGCCCTCAGGACACCGACTGCTTTGTATGTACACCTGCCAGGCACTCGCTGGCTTCTGAAAGCAGGGTGTGGGCTGTGGGGAGGAGGTAGGGTCCCCAGGTACCACAAATGTCAGGAGTTTCTTGTGTCCCCAGGCTTGCCGACACTTCAATGACAGCGGAGCTTGTGTGCCCCTGTGCCCACAGCCTCTTGTGTACAACAAGCTTACTTTCCAGCTGGAACCCAATCCCCACACCAAGTACCAGTATGGAGGAGTTTGTGTGGCCAGCTGTCCCCGTAAGTGCCTGAGGGGAAGAAACGACAGTGGGTCCAGGTTGGGTGCAAAAGGGATTAAGCTGGGTGCTGTATAGTGAATTTAGACAGCAAATGGTTGTGATCATCTGACTTCCTTCAATGACCTCTACACTGTCTCCTAGCTGCTTCCCCTGACTGCTGCTTCTAAGCCCTTAGGAGCAACCAAGACCCAAGGGAGTTTCTAATCTATAGTACAGCACTTAAGGAAGCTTACAGTGGCAAATGGGGTCAATCCAGTGCAGAGCAGGAGGGTGCAAGGCCGTAAAGGAGAGGTTACCTTGGTAGTTTGCAGTACTCCTCCCTCATTTCTAATGGTGCTTTCTTTTTCCTAGATAACTTTGTGGTGGACCAGACATCCTGTGTCAGGGCCTGTCCTCCTGACAAGATGGAAGTAGATAAAAATGGCGTCAATGTATGTGAGCCTTGTGGAGGGTTGTGCCCTAAAGGTGAGTAGGAGATGGTAGAGTTATGAAGACATGTCCTTTCCTCTGAGGCTATTCAGGCCACCCTCACTGAGCCATTTTGTGTTTGCAGCATGTGAAGGGACAGGTGCTGGGAGTCACTTCCAGACTGTGGACTCTAGCAACATTGATGGTTTTGTGAACTGCACCAAGATCCTGGGCAACTTGGATTTTCTTATCACCGGCCTCAATGGGTTAGAGATTCTGCCTTCCCTCCCCAGTCTCCCACATGGTTCATTTTATTGGCTTGCACTGTCCCTATGTGGAGTGACTAGAAATCTAAGTCATAAAATCTTCGAAGTTGCCTTTGACCTGAGAAAATGCTGAACTCAATTTCATTTCCAGTACTTAAATACCCTCAGGAACATCCTTAAATAATCCATGTCATCCTGATGAGTGATGTGAGGCAGGGACAATGTGTCTTTTTCCTTAAAGTTTTAGAAAAGTTATTCCTAAACTTAGATAAAAATATGCCTCCCATAATTTCCAGCTGTTTTCCCTAATTCTGCTGCTTGAAACAACAAAAAACAAAGGAATATTCTGATCCATAGGACAGAGCTTAAAATGTGTGTGTGAGAGAGAAAAAGAGACAGAGACAGGGTTGGAGAGAGTCACTGAAACACTATGGCCACCTGCTTTTTTCTCTTTTTCAGCCCAGGGACTTTGCACTGTTACATACCCATCCCTTTTCAAATTTTTTATTGCCAGACAGGATCTTGCCAAGTTGCAATGTTGCCCAGGCTAGCCTTGAATTTGCAATCTTCCTGCCTCGGTCTCTGAGTGCTAGGATTACAGGCTGGCACCATCGTATTTTTTTTTTCTTTTTTTGACACAGGGTCTCACTATGTAGTTCCAGGTAGCCTCGAACTCACTATGTAGCCTAGGCTGGCCTCAAACTCGCAGCAGTCCTTTTGTCCCAGCCTCCTGAGTACTAGGATTACAGGTGTGTACCACCATACCTGGCTTCTCAAATTTTGTTTTGTTTGGTACTGGGAATCAAACTGAGGACCTTGAGCTTGCCAGGAAGGCACTGTACCACTGAGCTACATCCCTGGCCTCTTGGTTTTTTTGTTTTTTTTGTTTTTTTGGTACTGAGGATCAAACTCGGGACCTTGCACTTTTGAGGCAGGTGGCAGAACCACTGAGCTAAATCACCGGCCCTTGTTTGGTTTTTTTCCTTGTTTTATTTTTTGAGACAGAGTCTTGCTATATAGTCCAGGCTGACCTTGAACTCTCAGCAATCCTCCTGCCTCAGCCTCCCAAGTTCTGAGATTACAGGTGTATGCCACAATACCCAGCTAATTTTTAATTTTGACATTATTTTGGTTCTATAACTAAAGTCACAAGAATGATACAAAGATTTCCATATACTTTTTACTGAGATTCCCTAAATGTTAAACATACTACCTATGATTTTATCCTTTCCTTTTTTTTTTTTGAGCCAGGGTCTCACTAAGTTGCTAAGCTCCCCAGGCTGGGCTGCAATTTAGCAGTTCTCCTTCTTCAGCCTCCTAGAGTGTTGGGATTTGTAGACCTGAGCAACCATGCCTGCTTATTTCTTTATATATATCCACACACACAAACAAATCGTGTTACTGTGTTTCTGAACCATTGGAGGGTGAATTTCCAGAAATAGTACTCCCTTACCTCTGTTGTATTTCAGCATGTACCTTAAAAACAAGGACATGTTTTCTTTTTCTCTTTTTGTTGTTGTTGTGCTTGGAATTCTAGGAATTGAATTCAGCCCAGGGTCTCATACACGCTAGGCAAGTGCTCTTCCATTGAGCTACTCCCCTTGCCCCACAAGAACATTTTCTTATGTAACCAAAGTACAATGGCCTGAATGAAAAATTAACACTGAAACCAAATATTACCTAATACATAGACCTTATTCAGATTTCACTACTTGTCCTGGTGATGTCATACATAGACCATACAGTTACCATGTGTCTTTATTCACCTTTAATCTACAGCATTTCCTCAGTTTTTGCTTAGCTTTCATGACACTGACATTGTTGTTGAGTATAAGTCAGGTAACTGGTAGGACAGTCTTCATCTTGGATTTGTCTGCTGTGTCTTCATGCTTTAAAATTTTTGGTGCTAGGGATCTATTCCAGAGTCTCAAGCAAGCACCCCACCACTGAGCTACATCTTCAGCCAAGTTAAGGTGGCTTTTGTTTGTTTTCTTGGGCTAAGGATTGAACTAAGGCCTTGTGCTTGTTAGGCAGTCGCTCTACCACTGAGCTAAAGCCCAAGCCCTGACCCCGGACCTTGCGGTTCTGAGGCAGGCGGCAGTACCACTGAGCTAAATCCCCGGTCTCCAGCTCCTTTTTATTTATTTATTTATTTATAGACAGGTCATTCTGTGTAGTTCAGACTGGCCTCAAGCTCCCAGCAATCCTCTTACCTCAGCCTCCTAAGTGCTGGGATTACAGGCATGCGCCACTACACTCGGCCTAGTTTTTGGTCTTTTACATTCATATTTTAGTGTTCAGATATCCCTGATTTGTCCCTTTTAAGCTTGCTTCCATGGTTTTTGGGCACATATCCTTCACTCTTTGAGCACTTCCTTACTTTTGGCCACAGGATGCTCTAGGGCCTAAGCTCTAGGCTCTTGTATTTCCCCCGCCTCAGCCATTTCTCCAAGGAGCCCTGTTTGCCTTAAGCAGAGAGTAGCATTTAGAAACCAAGTTCACTGGGCTGGAGATGTAGCTCAGTGGCAGAGTGCTTACCTAGCACCCCCACACACACACACAAATTAACATCTAGAAAAACCAAGTTTAAAGACCAGGTGTGATCATTTCAACTGGATTATACCTTTACCTTGCTGACTAGCTTTTGACTTTTCTCACCAGAGACCCTTGGCACAAGATCCCTGCCCTAGACCCCGAGAAGCTCAATGTGTTCCGGACAGTACGAGAGATCACAGGTGAGGGAGGAATCGATCTTAACTACTTGAGAAAATCATGTCCCAAACAACAAGAAGGGGCCAGGAGAACCAGAGAAAGAGGAAGTAGAGAGACTTTGTGCTCATATGCCTCTTCCAACCCCTCAGGTTACCTGAACATCCAGTCCTGGCCTCCGCACATGCACAACTTCAGTGTTTTTTCCAATCTGACAACCATTGGAGGCAGAAGTCTGTACAAGTGAGTAAGCAGTGTGGAGATGGGCACCCCAAGGTAGGGACTGTGGCAGCTCCAGAGGGTCTGTGAGTTTGATGAGGAGAAGGTGAAAAGGAGAACAGCCTCTCCCACTGGGCAAGACTAACCCACAGCAAATTTTTTTGGGGGGTTACCAGGGACCAAACTCAGGTGCGGTGCCACTGAGCAAATTTTTGAGTGAGAATAAATCCACTGCATGTATAACTTTCCCTTTGTAGTCTGCCCTCTTATCGTGTCTCCTTATTCTCAGCCGGGGCTTCTCATTGTTGATTATGAAGAACTTGAATGTCACATCCCTGGGCCTCCGATCCCTGAAGGAAATAAGTGCTGGCCGTGTCTACATCAGTGCCAATCGGCAGCTCTGCTACCACCACTCTCTGAACTGGACCAGGCTGCTTCGGGGGCCTGCAGAAGAGAGACTGGACATCAAGCATAATCGGCCCCGCAGGGACTGTGGTGAGGGCAGCGGGCAGCAGGGTGTGGAGTGGGAAGGTGAGGGCTGTGAGGACTGCTCCCTGGAAACGAGTCGGGCTGAGGGTGGAACCAGGACAGCGGGGCTGATAGGCTGGAAGCAGTAACGAGGAAGAGCTCAGGAAAGGGCTTGCTGAGAGTCCTTGGACTCCTGATCTACCCCTTCTTTTCCAGTGGCAGAGGGCAAAATGTGTGACCTGCTGTGCTCCGGGGGATGCTGGGGCCCAGGCCCTGGTCAGTGTTTATCCTGTCGAAACTACAGTCGAAGTGGTGTCTGTGTGACCCACTGCAACTTTCTGAATGGGTATGGTAAAAGGAGACCATCAGGAAGGATGGGCTGGGGCCCTGGGATGGAGCTGTTCACATAGTACCTCACGGCCTCTGAGCAACATTCATCATATGCCTTGGGGGGGAATTTGATCCTCATTGGAGGATCAAGGCTCTAAGATCAGTACTTGGGAAGTGACACCTCTTCCTTTTATCCTCCACTGCAGGGAGCCTCGTGAGTTTGCCTATGAAGCTGAATGCTTCTCGTGCCACCCGGAATGCCAGCCCATGGAGGGCACTGCCACATGCAATGGCTCGGTATGGCAGTAGCCCAGGATCTCTAAGGGAGGTGGGGAGGGCCAGCCTGGGGAGTGACAGCCAAATTGCTAGGATGGCCCACAGCAGCCAGATAATGTTACAGTTTGCTGCAGAGGTTCTGAAATGGCTGGGTTGGTCCTTGCTGGGAGGTGTGGAATTAACAATGGGATTCCGTTTTAGGATCCTGACCTTCTTTCTTCTACCCAGGGCTCTGATGCTTGTGCTCAGTGTGCCCATTTTCGAGATGGGCCCCACTGTGTGAGCAGTTGCCCCCATGGAGTCCTGGGTGCCAAAGGTCCTATCTACAAGTACCCAGATGTTCGGAATGAATGTTGGCCCTGCCACGAGAACTGCACTCAAGGGTCAGTGATGGGACAGGAGGGGGTAGGAGAAGAGAGGGTAGGACGCACTGAAAGAAGAAAAGGACCGTGATTTCAGAATCAATTCCCCAAAAAAACCAAAAAATGAGAAAAGAATGAAAAAATAGAAACAAAGCTTTTGTAAATAAGAAGATGAAGAGGAGTTAAAAGGAGGATAGGGGAATGGGGGGAAAAAATCAAGATATATCATGCACAGGTACAAATTCCCTATGATGAGTGTGATCATTATATATACCTAAAATGCACCAATAAATTTAATTAAAAGAAAAGAATCAATTCCAGCTGGGTGTGGTGGCACACACCTGTAATCCCAGCACTTGGGAGGCTGAGGCAGGAAGATTGCTGTGAGTTCAAGGCCAGCCTGAACTACATAGAGAGACCCTGTCCTCAAAAAAAAAGGAATCAGTTTCAGCTGTGCAGTACAGGGTTATAGGAAGGGAACTCAGTAACAGCACAAAATAACACCATAGTTTTGGGGAATCTGAATAATCTAGACTCGGGAGTTTTGCTCAAGAGGATACTCGGGAAAGCTGATGAGTTAGAGATTAAAAGTCCTTTCTTGGGACAACTTTGGGCTTCAGGATGGGATGCCCTGGTAGGCCCTGAAACAAATTTTTGTAGGTTGAGACTGCTGGACTTGAGCCTCTGTTCTCCAAGTGTCCATCTAAGGGAGTGACTTTCTGTTGTAGGTGTAAGGGACCAGAGCTACAAGACTGTCTGGGCCAATCACTGGTACTAATCAGGTATGAGCTGAGAGATTCTGGAAGCTGGGGATATGTGGGTGAGAAGCTAGGGACAGGGGCTGGTTAAGAGGGGAAGAGTGGCTCTGTTCGTTTTGGCCTTTTACATACATAGTTCGTTATCACTGTACTCGAGATCTAGGCTTCTAGCTCAGCATGGTGGCTCACACCCATAATTTCAGCACTCAGGAGGCTGAGGCAGAAGGATCACTTTGAGTTTGAGGCCAGCCTGAAATCCATAGTGAGACGCAGTCTGGGGGAAGGTGGGAGAAAAAAGAATCTAGGCTTCTGGCCTTTCCTTTCTAATACAAACCTGTAGTAGCCTAAAGCAGGAAGGTTCTAGCTTTAGGTTAATCCCCTCAGTGCTCAAGGGTATATGTATATGTGAATGTTAACTTCTTGCCCCAGATCTGCACTATATCTTCAGCACAAGTATAGATGGTATTGTGAGGGAGGTATAAACCCACGATAATGCTGGGCTTCTCTATATCCCACAGCAAAACCCATCTGGCATTGGCTGTGACGGTTGGATTGACAGTGATTATGCTGGTCCTGGCCAGCACTTTTCTCTATTGGCGTGGGCGCCGGATTCAGAATAAAAGGGCTATGAGGCGCTACTTGGAACGGGGTGAGGTGAGTATCTAGCTTAATTTTTTTTTTTTCGGTACCAGGGATCGAACTCGGGTCCTTCCGCTTTCAAGACAGGCGGCGGAACCACTGAGCTAAATCCCCGGCTAAAAGTTTTACAGTTACTACTTCTTTTTTTTTTTTGCACCGGGGATGGAACTCAGGTCCTTGTGCTTGCGCAGCAGGCGGTGAAACCACTGAGGTATCTAGCTTAATTTTGAGAGGTGCCTATGCCACCTGTACCCAAGGATAAGTGATGGGATGAATTCTACTCCCCTTCGCTTTCTCTGGAGATCTGATCGAGTTCTGCAAAGAGAATGTGGTCCACCAGAAAGAATACCAGCCAAGGAAATGGGAGGCATGAATTCTAGTTCTGGTTTTGCCATTAATTTGCCACAAGACTTTGAAGAAGTTACCTTCCTTCTCTGTGCCTTGGTTTATGGAGCTGTACAAAGGAAAAAACACTCATCCTCCCACAATGGCTGAAAGGTGAAAGGGAATGATAGGTGCAAAAATGCTTTGTAAAGCACAGAACACTGTGTAGAAGATCTCAAGGAGATAGGATGACCTATTCTCCCCAGTCCCCCTCCTGCTACTCTGTCACAGGGAACACCCAACAGTTTTGGTTCCTGACTTCATGAGCACAGACAACTTTCTCCGTCCTCACAGTCTGTTATTCCTCAGCATGCCTGTGAGGCTTTCCAGGACTAATGACGATTGTTCTTCCTGCCTGACTCTTTGGGTGCTGTTGCCCTTGGCATCCACCTAGGGGGAGCTGGTAGGAGTGGGATGTGGTGTGGGCTTTTCTGAGTACCTCTTTTCCATCTGTTCCTCAGAGCATAGAGCCTCTGGATCCTAGTGAGAAGGCTAACAAAGTCTATGCCAGAATCTTCAAAGAAACAGAGCTGAGGAAGCTTAAAGTGCTTGGCTCAGGTGTCTTTGGAACAGTGCACAAAGTGAGTGAGCCACAGGGAGTCTGGGGAGGTGGAAAAGGATATAGGGCAAAGGGAGAAGGAGTTGTGACAAAAGATGACCGAGGGAAAATGGCCCTCACCTTACTCCTGCCCCAAACTCCCCAGGGAGTGTGGATCCCAGAGGGTGAGTCCATCAAGATTCCAGTCTGCATTAAAGTCATTGAGGATAAGAGTGGACGGCAAAGTTTTCAGGCTGTGACAGATGTAAGTGAGGAAGTGTTAACCATGCTGCTGTACTTGAATGTTGGGGGAAGCCCTGGACTGAGTGTGCATGTGGTGAGTATAGGAACCTGTTTGTCCCCTGGATAACACTTCTGCTGTTTCATAGCATATGCTGGCTATTGGCAGCTTAGACCATGCCCACATCGTACGGCTGCTAGGACTCTGCCCAGGGTCATCTCTGCAGCTTGTCACTCAATACTTGCCTCTCGGTTCCCTGCTGGATCATGTGAGACAACACCGGGGGGCACTGGGGCCACAGCTGCTGCTCAACTGGGGAGTACAAATTGCCAAGGTGAGAGAAGCCTGGAGGAGTTAAGCACTGCTTGTCGGGAGGGGTGGGAAGACTGAAGTTCTGAGAGATGCTTTCAGTGTTTAGGGGAATCTGGATCCCCACAAATGACTCCCCCAACCCTGAAACTACTTCCTCCACCATAGGGTATGTACTACCTGGAAGAGCATGGTATGGTGCATAGGAACCTGGCTGCCCGAAATGTGCTGCTTAAGTCACCCAGTCAGGTTCAAGTGGCAGATTTTGGTGTGGCTGACCTGCTGCCCCCTGATGACAAGCAGCTACTACATAGTGAAGCCAAGGTGAGTTGACACATGGGCCGAGCAGGGACCATGGGGACAGGAAGTATTTGGTGGTCTCTTTCTGAGGTAAGTTATTTCATGGTAAATTCAAGGAAGGAAGCTGGAGATGCCAGAAACAAAATTTCAGAAAGCAACAATGAAAAGGATAGAGAAGTTAGTGTTTGGAAATGCTAAGAAAATTTGTGGAAATCAACCAGTGACAACTTTATCTTTACTCCTCAGACTCCAATTAAGTGGATGGCCCTTGAGAGTATCCACTTTGGGAAATACACACACCAGAGTGACGTCTGGAGCTATGGTCAGTGCATCTCAGTGCCCTCCATATCATCACTGGCCCAAATTACACAGCCTTTTGAGTCCCCTCCTTTTAGGAACTATAGACACTTCAGATCCTTGAATAACTTGAGTTCTGCCTTCCCTTTTATGTCATGCTCCTGTCTACTGTTTTTGGACTGACTAGTCCATGTCTTCCTGTACCAGGTGTGACAGTTTGGGAGTTGATGACCTTTGGGGCAGAGCCCTATGCTGGGCTGCGATTGGCTGAAGTACCAGACCTGCTGGAGAAGGGAGAGCGACTGGCACAGCCTCAGATCTGCACCATTGATGTCTACATGGTCATGGTCAAGTGTGAGTTACCTGTTGACCCCAGCCACAGGGGGGCTGACTTCTCTCCCTCCTTCTCTATGGCTCTAATCCCTCTTCTGGCTCTACTTCTTTATCTCATCTCCAGGTTGGATGATTGATGAGAATATTAGACCAACCTTTAAAGAACTAGCCAATGAGTTCACCAGGATGGCCCGAGATCCACCTAGGTATCTAGTCATAAAGGTAAGGACTAGAAGCTGTCAAGGACATTTAGAGAAAAGAGGACTTGGCTGGAGATTTACCTTAACAATTATCTGCCCCTATAGAGAGAAAGTGGGTCTGGAATACCTCCTGGGGCAGAGCCCCCAGCTCTGACAGACAAGGAACTGGAAGAAGTAGAGCTGGAGCCAGAACTGGACTCAGACTTGGAGGGAGAGGAGGACAGCCTGGAAACTACGCTAGGCTCTGGCCTCAGCTTACCAGCTGGAACACTTACTCGGCCTTGTGGGGTAGGACACCTCCTAATTGTCCAGGACTCTGTACCCTGAGCCCTCATGCACTGTACAGATACCCAGATTAACTACTCAAAGGCCACACTGTAAAAGTAGATTTCTCCCTTCATTTTAAGCTTGTCCTTACTTTTTCCATCCTAGAGCCAGAGCCTTCTAAGTCCATCATCTGGATACATGCCCATGAACCAGAGTAACCTTGGGGAAGCTTCCCAGGTAAGGTGTGCTGATAGGTATGGTGGCAGGGAATCTTAAGGGTTTGACAGTGCTCATAGGGTAGTGTGGTAGCGCAGAAACCTTTAATGTTTAATCAGCATCCTGCAAAAAAGGAATTGAACAGCCCACCCTCCTTCTAAACAAATGTCTCTTTCCCTTTCTTTTTCCTTTTTTCCAGTTCTGGGAATTGAACCAGCACCCCCCCACACCTTTGTTATTATTTTCTGTTTACTTTCCTCCTTAGGAATCTGTAGTCTGTGGGGATAGTGAACTGTGCCCCCGGCCTGTCTCTCTGCACCCAGTGCCACGGGCTCACCTGGCATCAGAGTCATCAGAGGACCATGTGATGGGCTCTGAGGCTGAGCTCCAGGAAAAGGTGTCAATGTGTAGAAGCCAGAGCCAGAGCCCACGGCCATGTGGAGACAGTGCCTACCATTCCCAGCGCCACAGCCTACTTACCCCAGTCACCTCACTGTCCCCACCAGGATTAGAGGAAGAGGATGTCAACGGTTATGTCATGCCAGACACACATCTTAAAGGTGCCTGACTCCTCAAGGGCTTTCTTCAAATCTTCCTCTAATCCTCTCCAAGCTCCTCTTAATTCTTTTCTCTGATCATATCCCTCCCTATTCATTTTTTCTAGCTTTCCCTCAGCCCCTTCTGCCTGTTACCATGATGTTCTCCACATACCTGTACTCTCTTCTCAACCCTAGGTATTTCTTCCTCTCGGGAAGGCACCCTTTCTTCAGTGGGTCTCAGTTCTGTCCTGGGAACTGAAGAAGAAGAAGATGAAGATGAGGAGTATGAATACATGAACCGGAGGAGAAGGCATAGTCCAGCTCGTCCCCCTAGACCTGGTTCCCTTGAGGAGCTGGGTTATGAGTACATGGATGTAGGATCTGACCTCAGTGCCTCTCTGGGTAGCACACAGAGTTGCCCACTCCAACCTGTTCCCATCATGCCTGTTGCTGGCACCACTCCTGATGAGGACTATGAATATATGAATCGGCAGCGTGGAGGTGGTGCAGGGGGGGATTATGCAGCCATGGGGCCCTGCCCAGTAGCTGAACAAGGGTATGAAGAGATGAGAGCTTTCCAGGGGCCTGGACACAATGCCCTCCATGTTCGCTATGCCCGCCTCAAAACTCTACGAAGCTTAGAAGCCACAGACTCTGCCTTTGACAACCCTGACTACTGGCATAGCAGACTTTTCCCTAAGGCTAATGCCCAGAGAACATAACCCCTGCTCCCTGAGACACTTGGAGCATTTAATGGCAGCTAGTGTCTGTAGAGGGGACTCTTCCCAACTCCCTCTTCCCTCACAGGTCTCAGCCCCATTTCTCTAGTCCAAGACAACTCCATTCAACCTCTGGAGGCTTTTAAACACTTTAACATGAAATTCTTTTTTGTTTGTTTTTGTTTTTTTCCTTTTTTTTTGTACCAGGGATTGAACTGGGGACCTTGAGCTTTCAAGGCAGGCAATGGAACCACTGAGCTAAATCCCTGCCCCAAACATGAAATTCTTACAGTATATAGCCACTGTACTCTTTCCTACCTCCTAGGAAAGAAGGTTTTGTCTGTTTTGCTAACCCATTCCTCAGCTTCCTCACAGGAACTCCCTGGAGATATGAAGGATTATTTCCCCAGTCTCTTTCTCTTTGAGGCCCTTACCTGTTGGAACTAATGTGCTTTTGTTTCCCATCAGACTGTCCTAAAGAAGAGGAAAGGGGGAAAACCTGGTGAAGGAGGGTCATTGTGGTTTATGATTTGTGATCCCTTAGAAAGCCTGGAGAGTATAAATTTTGTGGAAGAGAGAGGTTAAGAATAGATATTGATTACTGTTAATTGAACATTTACCAAGAGCCAGGCATCATGGAAAATCTCTCCTATATTATCTCACTTAACCCCCATTTTACAAAGACAGTGGCCCCCCCCAGGTGTTCCAAGATACCCAGTGAATGTGTGAAACTGGGGCTATTACTGAAATGTATAAAACCTTTTTTCAGTGAAGTACTTATCCTGCATTGTGCCCACAACTTTTGCAGTTTGAAATGCAACAACAAAACTAGGACTAATGCATGTTTCCATTTTCACAGACAGATCTGTTCTTATCATAATCTTTGCAACCCCCATAGATCTTAGCAACCTCAACATAGGATTGTTTTTTCTTTATTGAGAACTGTCACTTTTTCACTTAAAGGAAGTCTTTTATGGTTTCTTTGACATATTTGAATTGCCAGCACCACAACTCTTGAACTGTGTGGGCATTATTAAGTAAAATTAGGGTACTTGGACACAAGCACTGTGATGTCACAACGGTCTGCTGAGAAGGCTACTCATGGGCATGTGGATACACTGGACAAAGGGTTAATTCCCAAGTTGATGGAACAGGATGGTGTGGAATTTCAGCATGCTATTCAGAAAAGAATGCAATTTAAACTTCTGAACTGTTTATTTCTGGAATTTTCCATTTTAATATTTTGACTTTGCCACAAGTAACTCAAACTGCAGAAAGCAAATCATTGGGGGGGGGGGCACTAAGCCTGAAGAAATTAAGCAGCAGGTCCAGGATTCAAAATGTTCCCAATTCTAATGCATAGTGTCTTACTGTAACATGTCAAGGAAAACTGATACAAGTCAGAGCCCATGTAAGGGACATTGTTTTCTTGTTTTTGCACCGAATCAAGTTGAACTCCAACAGCCACATCCTCTTACACCCAGATTTCTCATCTCAGGAAGCAGTGAAGTGAATGGTCAGAAGAAAACATAACTGGCTATCTCTGTGTAAACCATAGCCCATGTGTACTGTCGATGATCTCCACTCCTTATAGATTCACAAAGGTCCCAAAGACCCACTTTTAGAAGCTACTGTACTCTCATCCAGAAATGAGAAGCTTCTAGTTGGGTTAGAAAGAGGACCCATCTTCAGACCCCTTATCCTCTTGGATGGAAACTAGGAGGAAGTGTATGTTGTATCCTTAAAGTTTTTTGTTTTTATACATGTCTGAATAAAAATGCTAAAGTTTTTCAGCTTCCTGTCAAATGAAAGTTGTTTGTGATAAGAGACCACCCAACCCTTGGCTCCTCAGCAGTGGATAAGCTACCTTTCTGTTTCCTGACATTCCTACTCTTAGCCCATCCAGCTTTTTCCGGGCCTAATTTTATATATTTTAAAGCAAGCACAGTAGCCTGGCATAGTGGTAGACATCTTTAACACCAGCACTCAAGAGGCTGAGGAAGGATCTGTTTGGGCCAGCCAGGGCTACACAGTGAGACGGCCTTTTCAAAAACTAAACAAGAAACTAGCATAGAGTATGGTCCTTTTTTTTTTTTTTTTTTTGGTACCGGGGATCGCTGCAGGCTCCGGGACCACTGGAACCACCGAGCTAAATCTTGGCCCTGGTCCTTTTCATTTAAAGGTTTTAGTAGTAATCGCTAAAGGGCAACAACAAAGCAGGCTGGCGATTAGAAAGTTTTTTTGTTTTGTTTTTTGTTGTTGCTTTGAAACGGTCTCACTTGAACTCATTATGTGGCCCACAATGGCCTTGAACTCGTGGCGATTCTCCTACCTCAGCCTCGGGAGTGCTAGGATTACAGGTTTGAGTCACCACACCCGGCAGAAAAGGCAAGTGCTTTCTCCTTCACAGATGGACCAAGTACTGAAACCTCGAAACAATGCAGAACTTTTCTCTCGAGTGATCAAATCGTTCCTTTTGAACACTGCCCTTAGGTGCCCCATCAAAGCTTTCTGCTGAAACTACTGTTACTTCAGTGGAAGTTTGCACTCCACACTGGGAGGTCACAGTAAATGGATACTCCCTCGAGTTGGCCGGTTAGCCCAAGAGTTCCCGATCCTCAGCACCCTTCCTTGACTTTCCAAATCCGCTCAGCCCCTCCCCGTTCTACCAGTGGAGGACGATTGGACCGGCAGGGCCGGTTGCGCCTGCAGAGCCAGGGATAGAAGGTTGCGCCCTAGCTTCCCCACCCCAGACTTACAGCGCGCCCACCCGCCTGAAATCCACCCTGCTCCACCCAGACGGCAGCCTCTAAATCCACTCCCCGCGCCGCTCCGCCCTCCTCCCCGCCCCCATTCCAGTCACTGGCTCTCGCTCAGCGTTCGCTATAATGTGGTTCTTCCTGGAGAGACCACGCTTTCCCTCCTACTCTCCAACGGCTCCGCCTTCCCGCCGGAGCCTGACCCTTCCCAGCGTGCCCGGCGATTCCGGCGTGCGAGGCCCTGGGAGGGCAAGGCCCCGGGGCCTGGTGAGGGGCGCGAGGGGCAGGCTGGGAGTTGTAGTTCCTGAGCGTACAATGGCGGCTGAAGCCTGGCCGTGGGCAGGACTCGTTGTCCCAGCGTGCCCTGCGCCTCAGCCCGCGCGCCCGCAGTTTCTCGCTCTCGCCACCCTCCTGCCCGCCAGCTCCCTAGCTTGATCGAGCTTTCGCTCGCGCTCTCCTCGAGGATCGAGGGGCCTCTGGCCATAGCCTGGGGCTGGGGAGGGAAACGGAGGCGGCGGTTCAGGGAAAACGAAGCTGCACTGGTGGTATTGGGAAGATGTCGGGCGAGGACGAGCAGCAGGAGCAAACTATCGCCGAGGACCTGGTCGTGACCAAGTATAAGATGGGGGGCGACATCGCCAACCGTGAGTGCGGCCTCAGGGGTCCCGAAATCGAGGCTGAGAGGGAGAGGTGCCGGGCTGTCCTGGGGGGGGGGTGGCTGGAGCGGCAGGGTCTTGCGGAGTGAGCCCCCGAGGGGCGCGCACTGGTCCGCCGGGTCGGCATGGTGGGAAGACCTTGTGTCGAACCCGGGACTGAGCGGCCAGCCCGGGCTGGAGTGTGAAGGTGCGGGCCAGGGACCAGGAGGAGCCCAGAGAGGGCCCCGGCAGACTCCGACCCTAGGCCCTTGGTAAGGATACGAGGCTCGTCCTCCCCTGCCCCTCACCCCTCAGTCCGGATCTCTGCTTCCTCTGGTCTGGCAGGAGCGAGGCCACCTTGAAAACGAAGCGCCCAGCTGTTGGCGACCGAAGCACCCCTCTGCTCGGTCGCGGCTCCAGGCCCCAGGAGCTGAGCCGCGGCACGTGTTGCCCAGTCCACATGCAGAGCGCTGGCTCTCTTCCTCCGCTACGGTCCCTGACACCAGCTTCCCCACCACGTGCTTTGCTAGAGCCTTTGCTTCTTCAGCTCCTACCTGGTGGGGGCCCCCTTCCTGCCTTTGGCTAGCTCAGGGGGCCGTTGGAGGGCACTTGTCTGGCTTTTCTGGAAGTTATTAATTACTACCTCAGAGCCAGTCTATGCAGATGGCATTAGCTTTCAGATTTGATTGTTCAGAGGGACTTGACAGTGTTTTGAGGTCTTGCTCTCACCCCAGCTAAGCAAACTTGTGAACGGTACTGGACAAGGGGAGACTAGCTGACTTTAGGAGTGTCACAAGTCATCCTTACCGGAGCTGTGCTCGTCTAAGCAGTTGCCTGCACTCTAGGCAAATGTTTCACTTTCCCTTTTCTTTCTTTCCAATTCATTTTTAAGACAGAGCCTCACTGTGTAGCCCAGGCTGGCCTCAAACTCTCAATGATCCTCTTGCCTCAACCACTGGGATTACAGGCATGTGCCACCATGCCCGGCTCACTTTAACATTTTACAGCCCACTTAGGGAGATAGAAACTTATTGTCTTTTGGCTTTTGAATGGTTTTAGCAGTAAAGATAGTGGGAGGAGGTAGTTAGGATACCTCTGATCCCATGGCTGTGAACCTTTTTCTGGTTTCCAAAGAATTGCCAAAATAGATCTCAAAAAAATCAAACCTGAAATTCAGGATGGATCCAGATCATAGAGAGGACATAAACAGAACAGTTCAACACAATGGGCATTTGGTATAGTACGTTCTTTGTTGGTGCTTTTTTTTCTTATAGTTTATAATTGGAGGTGCTTGTGATCTCATTCCAATTTTGAAACTTTGATATCTGCTAAAAGTTATAAGCCATGAGGCCCCTGAAGCTTGGGAACCTTAGATTAAGTCCACTAGGCTTATATACTTGTTTGTGAGGAAATAAATTCTACATAAATTGATTGGTTCCTCTGCCTGCCCCACAAGCACAAGGACCCAAGTTCGATCCCTGGTACAAAAAAAAAAATTTTTCTACATAAGTTGAGATTACTAACATCTAATTAGGGCGTCTGAGAAGGGAAGAAGGTAATAACAATGCATCAGCTTCATCTCAGCAATTCTTCTTGTTGTCCCTGATGCCTATAAACTTCTTATGGTTTGCTTTGCATGTATATAGGGTGCCTTGGTGAGCGCCCCCTGAAGTTCATAATTCTGGTACCAGAGATAACATCTTTAGAAGTCTGATGCCTTGCCTGAGGAGACAGATTGTATATGCCCAGTTGTCAGATAATGTAAGGGAAAGGAGTGTTGACCTTTTTTTTTTTTGGTGCTGGGGATCGAACTCGGGACCTTGTGCTAGACACTGGAACCACTGAGCTAAATCCCTGGCCCCTTGACCTTTTTATTTTAGGAACAGAAGGTAGAAATTAGGGATTATAGGTGGATCCATTCCAGGAAGTAAAACTTGTTTCCCCTGTAAGCGTCACAACAGTGGCAGTAGGCAGTATTAGAAACTCTTGAGTCCAGCTTTCAAGTATTACTTGAGTGGTAACTAAATAAATATGTGCAGGGCTAATGTGGGATTTTTTTTTTTTTTTAATGATACTGGGGATCGAACTCAGGACCTTGCATTTGCGAGGCAGGCGGGGATACCACTGAGCTAAATCCCTGGCCCTGATGTGGGATTTTTGTCCCCAGGGGTACTTCGATCTTTGGTGGAAGCATCCAGCTCAGGTGTGTCGGTATTGAGCCTGTGTGAGAAAGGTGATGCCATGATTATGGAAGAGACAGGAAAAATCTTCAAGAAAGAAAAGGAGATGAAGAAAGGTAAAAAAAAAGAGAGAGAGAAAGACCTTCCCTTAATTTCCCAGGTTTGACCTTTATTTGATCCTCCTTGATTTTGTTTTTATTGTAATGATGTGACCACCACTCCAGTTTGACTTGATATTTGGAGTGGCAATGGGACACTTTCCTACCCAGTCCAAACTGATTACATTTAAGCAAGTCCCTGGAAAAAAAATCCTTTCATTTCTTTAAAGAGCGATAGGGCTCCTGAGAGAGAGAGAGCAAGGTAGTAAGGCTGATGATTCTTTTTACAGGTATTGCCTTTCCTACCAGCATTTCGGTAAATAACTGTGTATGTCACTTCTCCCCTTTGAAGAGTGACCAGGACTATATTCTCAAGGAAGGTGACTTGGTAAAAATGTAAGGTTAAACCATTCTAGAGCATTTGTCTTTTTCCTAAGCATTTATATAGTGCCTATTCTTAATGCATTGCTCTGCTTGCCTTTCAGTGACCTTGGGGTCCATGTGGATGGCTTCATTGCTAATGTGGCTCACACTTTTGTCATTGGTGTGCCTCAGGTAGGTAGGTGGCTGCCCACAGATAGTACCAGGTGGTCAACTGGGTTACTGAACTTGCCAGGAAGACACTGATTACATTTCCTTATCTACAGGGGACCCAAGTAACAGGGAGGAAAGCAGATGTTATTAAGGCAGCTCACCTATGTGCTGAAGCTGCCCTACGCTTAGTCAAACCTGGAAACCAGGTAAGGTATATATCCCAATTCCGATGCTTAGTAGAACCAAACATCTACTAGGCACTTAGAACTACTCTGTATGGAATTAACAACTTTTCTAATAGTCCTCTTGTAAAACAAACAGCTTTTTGTTTTGTTTTATTTTTGTTTATGAGACAGAGTCTCACCATGTAGTCCAGGCTGGCCTCAAACTTGTGGATAATCCTGCCTCAGCCTTCTGAGTGCTGAGATTATAAGCATGTGCCATCATACCTGGCTTTAGGATTGTTTTTTTATTTTGTATGTGCATCTTTTCCCAAAATACGAGGTAGCTACTAAATAAAACGTAGGTGTGGGTTTTTTTTTTTCTGTACTGGGCATCGACTCGGGACCTTGTACTTGCAAGGCATGCAACAGCACCACTGAGCTAAATCCCCAGCCCTGTTTTGTTTAGGTACCAGGGATCAAACTTGGGACCTTGCTCTTTCAAGGCAGGTGCAGCACCACTGAGCTAAATCCCCAGCCTTCGTGTATGTGTTTTTTGAGACAGGGTCTCATTTGTATAGTTCAGGATGGCCTTGAACTCACTGTGTATCCCAGGGTGGTCTCAAACTCATGGCATTTTCCTGCCTCAACCTCTCAAGTACTGAGATTACAGGCATGTGTCACCACACTCAACAATAAAACACATTTTAAAACTCAGTTCTAACAGCCCCCTTTTTTTTTTTTTTTTTTTTTTGGTACCAGGGATTGAACTCAGGACCTTAAATTTGCTAGGCAGATGAGGCGCCACTGAGCTACATCCCCCACCCTTAACAGCTTATTTTTTACAAACTTGATAAAAGATATCAGAGAGGTAGTACCAGTAAACAAATGTCAGAGAGAGGCTAAATGTGGGCATGGTGGTGCACACCTGTAATCCCAGCACTATGGAAGGCTGAGGCAGCAGGATTACAAGTTTGAGCCTACTCTGGGCATCTTAGCAATTTTGTGAGACATTGTCTTTTAAAAAAAAAAGTCTGGGTATGTAGCTCAATGTGAAGTCCAAAGGGCAATCTCCAATACCAGGAAAAAATAGACTAAAATTTGTTATGTGATTTGCAAGACAGGAAGCCTAGGAATGGTAGAGTTGTCATGAACTAGTAGAATTAACCACGTTAGATTGACAGTGGAGACATTTCTCTAATACTTACATTTCCAAAGATCTGTTTAATGTTCAAACCATTGTCTTTTTGTTTTTAGGGTTTTGTTTTGAGGGGTTTTGTTGTTTTTGTACGGAGGATCCGAATTTAGGACTGATCTGAATTTAGGACTTTGCACTTTCGAGGCAGGCGGCGGAACCACTGAGCTAAATCCCCGGCCCTGTTTTTAGTTTTTTGACATAGCATCTTGTGATGTAATCCAGGCCAACCTCAACCCCAGGCACTTCTGCCTCAACTGGGATTACAGGCTTGCCAATACCATGTCCAGTAAACCATTGTCTTTTTTTTTTTTTTTTTTTTTTTGGTACTGGGTATCAAACTGGGACCTTACATTTTCAAGACAAGGCACCACTGAACTCAATCCCTGGCTGCCATTGTCTAATAAGACATTGTCTTCTTGTCTATGCTCTCTTATCTCACACTTTTGTTTTGTGGAGTTTTTTTGTTTTGTTTTATTTTTGGAGACAGGGTCTTACTATGTAGTTCAAGCTGACCTTGAACTCACTGCAATCCTGCCTCAGCCTCCCAAGTGCTGGGATTACAGGCATGTGCTACTATGTCCAACTTTGTCTCACTATCAATTAATTTTTATTTCGTCTTCAATTTTAGTACTTGATTGCATTATTTTTACTTAAAACCTCTGTCTTGGTTTACTTAAAATGATGCCTAACTTTGTAGAGTTGTTGAAAAGTCCTTTGAACAGGAAGCCTGACACATAGTAAGCAATAATTAGCTGTTACTGGGCCGGGGATTTAGCTCAGTGATGCCGCTGCCTGCCTCATAAGCACAAGGTCCTGAGTTCGATCCCCAGTATGAAAAAAATAATAATAATTAGCTGTTACTATTGTTTTACACAATTGTTATTAATATATTGTGTATCTCTACAGGAAGGTAGAATTCTGTAGTGGGTAGTACAGGGTATGCCTATGAAAAAATCAGATGAGGTTTGTCCATACCCTATCACCACACTTTACTACTGGTATTTAAAAATAACGTTGAGCCAGGGATGGTGGCACACACCTATAATTCCAGCACTCAGGAAGCTGAGGACAGCCTGAACTACATAGTGAGTCCCTGTTTCAAAAAACAAAAACAGCTGGGCGTGGTAGCTCTTGCCTGTAATCTTAGCATTGATGAGGCTGTGGCAGGAATACTGCCACGAGTTGAAGGCCAGCCTGAACTACATAGTGAGACCTGTCTCAAAAAAACCCACCAGACCCAAGGATTTAGCTCAGTGATTCTGTTGCCTGCCTCGAAAGCACAAGGTCCCAAGTTCAATCCCCAGTACCAAAAAAATAAAAACACCAAACAAAAAATCTTGAGCTCAAATTTCTTCGTCTATAAAATGGGCAAAATAAAATTGTGCCTTATTCTCACAGTTAATACCAGTGAGATAATCTGTGTAAAGTGTTTATAGTAGTATAAATTTCATTTAATAAATACTGGCTAGTTTTTGGTTTTGTTTTTTGGGAGGTTTTTGGTTTGGGGTTTTTTAATCTGAATTAATAGCATAAATAAAAATTGGATAGTTTTGAAAGAGGTTAAAAAGAAAAAAAAGACAAGGAAAAATAAAGGTTTGCCATCCCTTCTCCAACAGGTAGAATGCCAGTTATAAAGGAATAAATACTGAATTGTACATGGAAAAACCTATGTTTATGTCAAGGTTCTTCCACTTCCTTGTTTAACCTTGGGTGAATCAGTTAATCTTTATGCTTCTCATTCTCCCTGTAGAGAATTTATTAGCTCCTAATATCTCACCTTTTACTTATTTTGTACTTGTAGAACACACAAGTGACAGAAGCCTGGAACAAAGTTGCCCATTCATTTAATTGCACACCAATAGAAGGTGAGACCTCACTAACAGGGTTGCGGGCCTAACAATGAATAATTTAGCAGAATTAAAGCTTTTGCGCCTTCATCCTGGCTGTAGTTCGGTCTTAGCCAGAAACCTCAGTGCTCTGTTTCCGTAGCCAGATACATTGCTTGCATGACCAGACTACCTCAGTGGGTGGCTTTGGACTTTGGGATTCTGGACAGCTAGTACCATAGGCCTTGCCCTTATCTACAGGTATGTTGTCACATCAGTTGAAGCAGCATGTCATCGATGGAGAGAAAACCATTATCCAGAATCCCACAGACCAGCAGAAGTAGGTGCCAACCCACTCTTCTACCACACCAGTCAGTCACCAACTTTTTTTCCTCCCATACTCCCAGCTTAATCACATCTGCCTTCTACTGCAGACCCAGGAAGCTATTTATTACTCTTAATGGCTCCCTTTTTCTCTATTCCTTTTAGGAAGGACCATGAAAAAGCTGAATTTGAGGTACACGAAGTATATGCTGTGGATGTTCTTGTCAGCTCAGGAGAGGGCAAGGTGAGGAAAATACAAGCTAGCAGGAGGGGTGAAGGAGTGTGTTTTCACCAGACTAAATGTGACCTAATTGACTCTTTTAGGCCAAGGATGCAGGACAGAGAACCACCATCTACAAACGAGACCCCTCCAAACAATATGGTCTGAAAATGAAAACTTCTCGTGCCTTTTTCAGTGAAGTGGAAAGGCGTTTTGATGCCATGCCATTTACTTTAAG